ACACACACACACACACACACACACACACACACACACACGTCCAGCCTGTGTATATCTGGCCCCTCCTCAACACCCACAGACTTCCTGAGTTCAGGGGTTTTCAAACTCGTTTTTAGTAATAGAGCCGTTTTCTCAAACAAAAATCCCATGTGGAAACACAACATAGGAAATTTAGTGAGGAGAAACAACCGCCTCCCCCCTCCCTGGGAGGCCCTGCTGACCTTCCCCATCTGTCCTCTGTTGCTCCCCCATGGGCAACACTCATAAGGCTCAAACCTTCCATTTTTGGTGCTTAATTTTGGTGTCTGGCAGCTGTCGGCTTGCCTTCTTCCCCTCCTGTTCCACTGTGAGCTGCCCAGGGTTGGCTTCCAGGCAGTGGGGACAGAACAGCTTGGCCTGGAGCCCTGCTGGCCAGACTGGACACTGCCCTTGGTCCTGGGCAGCCCTGAGTCAGCACCACTCGCATCTTCTGAGGCCCCACCCTGCCCATAGCTCTGCAGTCCTCCCTGTCCTCTGCATGCCTCATCCCTGTGTGGTTCTTTGGGTGTGGCTTTGTCCAGGGTTGACAGAGGAACTGCAAGGACAGCATCCTCTTCCTTCCTGCCCCCAGCCTCAGGACCTCCAGTCAGGGCCTCTGGAGATGCAGAATCTTTTCCTAAGGCAGCCTGAGCACCATCTTTCACTCTTGCCTAATTGGTCTTTTTCCAAGCCTTGGAGGACTTTATGAAATCAGGCATGTGCATCTTCCCCAGTGCATCTCCATAGCAACATAGGACCTAACTCTGGGGAGCTCAGTGAGGAGGAAAATGTTCCAGCTAAAAATGTACATGGCCATCAGTGGGCGGCTACCAGAGACGGGGACTCCAGGCACAGAGAGAGCAGCTCCCTACCCCCACCTGGCTCTGCCCATCCAGGAAGTCAGTACTGGGGCTTTACCTTCTATGAACAAGAGGAAGGGTCCTTTAGCTGCCATCCTGTGTGGCCTTCAAAGGCTGGAACATCAATCAGGGGATTGTGTGAATCAACCTTTCCAAACCCGAGGCCAAACATAGGGCCTGCCCCCCCCTCCTCCTGCTCGCTAGCCTGTCCCCACTGCCCCTCCCTTGTGTGGGTGGAAGGGGATACAGAAAGGATAGAAGACCAGTTTCACTTCCCAGCCCCTTTTTGTGATACTTCCTCTATCTCCGGTAACAGTTGTTTGAGCTAAACAGCAGGACCAAGCTTCCTAGCCCTGCACCCAATGTAAGACCACCTCTGCCAGGTCCTTTCACCTCTGGGCTGGTCCCACCTGTTCACCCTCCACTGCCCTTTGTCCCAGCCATCTGACTCTCTTCCTGGAACCCTCAACTGCCAGGCTGAGCTGGGCACTTAGGCCCCAGGACCCAGATATGCTCAGAAAGATCTACTGCTTGATACAACTGAGGGAGCTGTCCCCTTCCTGCCACAAGCTTGGGTTTCTCCTCTCTGGTTGCAGAGATGAAGTCTTGTACACTTTTCAGTCTTAAGGCCTCCCAGGGTGAAGGGCAGCTCCATACTGCAGACAGTAAGGACTGAGAAGAATAGGCCTATTTATTGAGAACCCACTGTGCCAGGCACTGTTCTGAATGCTGTGCATATACTAACTCAGTTCAATCTCACAACAGTCATAGAAGTGGATACTGTGATTTTATCATTTACAGATAAGGAAATGGAGGGCCAGAAAATCGTTCTTGTCCAGAATCCCCAGATGGGGAGACTCAAAACCTGTTACTTGGGACCAGGAGGAATGGAGCTACTATAGTAGTCTGGGAGAGTAGGTTGGAGCAGGGCTTGGGCAGTCAGGTAGGACTTGTATGGGTAAAGGGCATGGTTGGTCACTTGATGTGCCACTCCAGAGACACAAGGGCAGAGGGTTTCTAGCTGGTGGCCAGTGAGTGTACTACCTCCTGCTCTAACTCTATCTGTGCTTGGTCTCCAGGGCCTGATGCTGAGTCGGTTGGGCCACAAGAGCTTGGCCCAGAAGGTGCTGCGGGACGCCGTGGAAAGGCAGAGCACCTGCCATGAAGCATGGCAGGGCCTGGGAGAGGTGCTGCAGGCACAGGGTCAGAACGAGGCCGCCGTCGACTGTTTCCTCACCGCCCTGGAGCTGGAGGCCAGCAGCCCTGTGCTGCCCTTCTCCATCATCCCCAGAGAGCTCTGATTCGGCAGGGGGAAGGCAGGCAGACAGGCAGCGAGAGCATGGGTCAGGAGAGGGATAGTGGCATTCAGGTATGGCCTCAGAGAAATACATCTCTAGTGAACACTTCTGTAGGCTGCAGCCCTAGCTCTCCTGACCTTTCCCCACCCTCCCCCTTCCCACCCTTACATTTCCTTCAGGGCCAACTGGGCATGGGTACTGCTCATCTGGAATAGGGGACAAGATTTGTATTTGTGCAAATCTCTTGCTCCTTGGACTCAGACATTGTATCACTTATGAGCAAGGAAGAAGCTGGGAGGCCATATCTCCATGGAGCCTCTCCCCAGCCCATCTGTGCATCATCTAAATATGTTCTAAGTGTCCATGTGTCTTGGGTACCTCTCCCCTATTGTCTCAGAGCCCCCTCCCTCAATATCCCTGACTTTTGTCTTAAGCCTCAGGTTTTTGCTCTGCAACACCAAAGGTGAACCCCATGAATTATCCTTTGGCTGGGCCAACAGGGTCTTTCTGGATTCCTTTTTTAGTGCCTTGGGAAACAGTCTGGCTTGAGCCCTAAGTGACTTTTCAGAGTTGTGGTGACTAGACTTGTTCCTTGCCAGCTCAGGCATGGGAGCCTCACAGCTGTTCTTCACCCCAACCCATGCCTCTGCCTTGGGGTCTGGAAGTCCTACAGCCTAGGTACACTCCCCAGAAACAGGATCAGGCAGGCTTCTGGATCACTCTCGGATTTTACCCAGGGCAGTCACAGTTTGAAGAAATTGCTGGCAAGTGGGAAGTCGATGATATCTCTGGGTTCCTTCCCCAGACTTGGAGTTAGTGGATGATGCCCAGCATTGCCCCTCTGCTTAACAAGGCCAACTGGGCCTCATTGTGTCCTTCCCCTCTGCTGCCAGGTGCCTTCAGGATCTCCGGTATCTGCCCAGGGGCACTGAGGACTAACCCTAGCTCTTCCATTTTTACCCTCCACACCCACTCCTTGGAAACATGCTGAGCCCAAGCAGCCATTAGCCCTAAGATAGAACTCAGGATAGAACATATGGCTGCTGGACTCAGCCCTTTCTAATGCCACACGTCCACATCATTCCTTCAAGCCTTCCACCATAATGCAGGTCCCTCTAGGATTAATACGGAGGTGGTTGTCTCTGCGACTGTTCCCAGTGCATCTTAGCACCACAGCCCATTTTTTTCCTTTTTCTTTAACCCTAACCCACCATAACCCATTTTTTACTTGGGAGATTTTTGGGCAACCCAAGCTCCCCTGCTGAAGCCCCATAAGGACTGTGGTTAGATACATGGAAAGGAAACAGAGCTTGGTCCTTCCTTTCCATGGTTGAGCAGACTGTCTGCAAGGGCCTAGGGACTGCTGGGCAGGAATCTTCCCTGCTGGCTCCCCACGCCCTGCTGTGTGAAGTTTTTAGAACTCTTCCCCAGTAAGTCAGTCCCCCAGGGCCCATCAGGGAATTCTTTTTTTTTTTTTATCTGCACTTTTGGTTTTCATTTTAAAAATTCCATCAGGTACAGTTCTCATTTTAAGATGTGTGGAAATGTTGGTGCAGGCTGCCTGGTTTGTCATAGCCCCATCTTCCTTGGAGGGAGAGGACAGTAAGACACTCCCCTCCATGACACAGTGGCTCAGCACTGCACATCCCAGTGCCTCTTGGTCTTCCCATACCAGGCCAAGGGGCACCACGGAGGATGCTGGATCCTTTGCCTCTTCATTAAAGGATTCCTCTAAATGTGTATGTGTGTATATAAATATAGATATATATGTAGATAGATAGATATATTAGAGATCTATTTTTTTTCTGGAATTCTGTTAGGAAAAAAATAATAAAGTAAAAGCAAATGCTATTGATTTACCTCGGGGTACCCAGAGAAGATGGTGGTCAATTCTTGGTATTAGGAAAGACTTTAAGCATTTCCTCATTGGAAGCCAAAGAGGGCCAGGTCAAGTTGCTGACAGTGACTTTACAGACTGAATAAAGAGACCCATGAAGGGGAAGCAGGTTTGTCTGAAACTGTGTTTTATTCTTTTGGCACATGACCCCAGAGCCAGCCTCGAGCTAGGCCCTAGAGAGGAGGTGGTACTGTGGGTGGAGACAGGCCAAAGAACTCATCAAGGCCAAAGCCTGGGCCAGACAGCTTAGATGAGAGAGAGGGCCCTTTGAGAAGATTTGGATTTTAGCAGGTGGAATATTGCTAGGTAAGAGCAGATGAGAGGTAAGGGCTTAGGGAGGATGTTGATGTTGGGGCTTAAGCCTAGAAATGGGTAGGAGGAGGGAAAGGGATCCAGGCAGAGCTGATCTAGCATTTGACCTGTCCTTCAGGTGGTCCTGAACCCCCTGCTGCCCCCCGGACACTGCTGAGAGAGCCAAGGGCAGGACTGGCCATCCATCCAGAAAAAGACAGATCTTCAGGGATTGCCAGTGGAACAGCTTCAGCATGTGAGGACACGCACCAAGAGAAGGGTGCCGGGGAGGATCCAGGCCACATTTAGGCCAGCCACCTCTGCTGAGTGGTCCATACCAGTATACTTCTGATAGATGAGTTAACACTCCTTATGTTATCAAGCATACATCAAAACTGTTTAAAGAATCATCTAATTTACATAGTTCTATTTCTTCAAGCACCCCAAGGGATCACCAGTTGCACCCCCAAGGCGTAGCCACCCTACTTTAAAGACATCTGCCCTGAGGCTTCCCCTAGAACTCAAGGCTGGTCTAGACAGCCTCCCACTCCATGGGCCTCATAGTGGCCTCACCTCCTTCCTCCCCCCCTCAGCTCTACTCCATGCTGTGGCATTGCTGTGTAACTTTGCCCTCCCAGTGAGGAAGGGTTTTTCTTGGAGCCTTTGGAAACCTGATTTCTCTTTTGCTGTGATTTTTTCTTTTTTAAGGTACCGCATTCACTAACCTCAGTTATTGAACAATTGTGTCAAATTCCTTGTCACACACCCTAACCCCCAGCTCATGATCAGCTCAGGTGAGAATTAAAGACTACCTTAGGCTACAGGTGGTGCTGCATTGTCTATCAGCCTGGAAGAGGTTTAGAACCTACAGAGAAGAGAACAGAATGTGCAGGCTCACCTTCCAGTTCCTTACCAAACTGGCCTTAAAGTGTTAGATGTTGAAAAGTCAGGCCATGCTGGAGACCTGCTGAGCCCCAGGCATCTCCCGAACCCAGCTGGTCTGCAGACTCCAAGCTCACACATAAACCCTAGTCAGAGAGCAAGGGAACCAGCTCCCGTGTCTAAACCCATCATGCCGTACAAGGACAAGAGTCTGAGGATGAGACCTTCATGGGCCTCTAACCCACCACTACCAGGACACTGCCCATAGTTGTACACTTGGGTATTAATAGTGTTTATTTGTGAGCACAAATATGAATGGAATTCAGCTGCCACCACCCAGACTCCTTTCTGGTACCAAAGTGTTCATTGTTGCCTTCACACCCCCACCCTACATTCAGATGTTGTCACTGGGCAAATATGTCAGGGCCTTGGGAAGCCTTTAGCTAAACTAACCTCCTCATTTGCCCAGCTCATGCTGCCAGCTCTTGATGACAACTCAGGGAGTCTCACACACACTTGCCCATGTGCCACATGGTGTACTGATCCAGAAGATCTTGGGAGGCTAGGGAAGTCCTGGCTAGAAAATATCTCACAGTCCCCTGCCAGAAATTCATTAGAATTTTCATCAAGCTCTTTAACTTGCAAAAGATAGAGACCCACTGAAAGTAACCCAAAGAGATACAAAGCCCTGGAGCCCTAGGGCAGGACTGGAAGCCAAAGTAGGTCTGGGGCCAAAGCAGCCGCATGACCATAATGGAGGCAGCAAGGTGACACTGCAGTCACCAGCCTGATTTGAAGGCCTCAGCTGTCCCACTGATTGGCCATGTGGTCTTAAGAAAGTCACTTAACCTCTTGCCTGTTTTCTCATCTGTAAAATAAGATTTACAGTGGAATTTTGTGAATTACCATGTTTAAGTGAAAAGAGGTCAGGAGCCTAGAACAATCCCTGGCCCATAATAAATGCTCAATACATGAGTAATTGTTTTCTATGCTTTTGTTCCTTCTTTCTCTCCTTGGTGGCTGACTGCTCACTCAGATGTGTCACTCCCCTAGGACTATGTTCGACACTAGCCTGGCCCTCCAGCCCCATCCCTGATTGACCTACCTCCTACAGCACTGTAGCCACTCTCTTCTGAGCCACTGGTTCTTAAACAAAAGGAAGTGATTGGCTCATTTCTCCATAGGTTACTAGGTAGCCTATAGACTGACTTCCCAGAGTAGGTGTCTTTTCCTAATCCAATTAGCTGTGACCAGAAAGTATGGACTCAACACAAAATATGGCCCTGAGGCACCTGGAGTTCTGGTGGGTAGCCTGCATCAACCCATCTGTCTTTCATGCCTTGCCTTCTCTTGGCAGTGAATAAAACACAGGACCCTCAGAAGTAGACAACAGAACACGTCCTCCCCCCCCCCACACACACACCAAAACACCCTCTTTTCCTTCCTTATCATCATCCACTTATGGTGCATCCATGGGGGCTGGGAGTCTCCCATCCTTCCCTCTTGGAATGAAGATGACAATGGCAGAACCAACACTTCCCCAGTACTATACTTTTTATAAGGTACTTTACTTATCAGTGAATTCTTTCTCCTAATCACTTACGGGGCAGTCAATATCCTTGAAAGGTAAGTTTTATCCCCAAGAAAGGTGAAGAGATCATGGTGCTTCTACAGGTACTTGGTAAATGGCAAGGCCTTGGAACACAGAGCCTTATTCAGGACCAGTGTTCTGTCCAATGCTACCCTCTGAAGACAGTTTTACTTCCCCAGCCCTGGGAAGAAAGGCAAAAACCACCCCACCACTGCTACTGAGGAACTCCGCTGAGATTCGTGGAAACTTACATTGTCAGGAGTCCTTTCCAGAAGCATCATGAGAGAGGAAACATGGGTCCAGAGACCCCTGGGTGTTCGGAAGCTCTTCCACTCTGCTGTCAGCCTCATCCTATGGCTGGGACAAGTAAGAATGAACAGCACTCAGTGCTTCCTACCACTCATCTTAGCCAAGTGGAGCTTCCTCAAGGAGAGGTCACTCAAGGGGCTTCCCAGATAACAACAGTGTTCCAGAGATGTTGGCACCCTGAAAGCATGAATAGGTCCACTATGGGAGCCATGTATTAGGCCACCCCTAAGCAGGGGCACTCCACACATGTGGGGGCTGTCATTGTTCACTTGTTCTTGCTCATTCTCCTAGTCTCATTCTCGTCCTCTCTTATCTCTTTGGAGGACCACAGGCAGTGTGGTGGTTGAGGTGCTGGACTTCCCACATGGCCGACTGCAGTTCAAGTCTTGGACCTGGCAGCTTGTTTTCTCACTCTCCCTCTCTCTAGCTCTTTCTCTGCTAAAATCATGTGAAATAATAAATTAATAAATAAATAAAAGTAATTCTTATCTCTTTAGAATTTGGCAAGAAGTAAGTTATTGTAAACTTCTTTAAAATCATATTGTTTGGGGACCAGCAGTTGGCATAACGGCTATGTCACTGGACTCCCATGTAGTCGACCGCAGTTCGAGTCCCGGACCCAGTGGCTTAAACTCACGCCAGGTGCATGAGTGTGTGTGCCCAAGATCCTGAGAGGAGAATGGAGGAGAAGGGATTGTGGCTTGCCCATCCTCCCTGGGGAGTGATTTCTCGCTTTCTGTCTCTCTGTCTCTCTGTCTGTCTGGCGAGCGCACGTGCCCTATAGCGAAAACCTCTAAAAAAAAAAAAGAAAATTGACACTGATATGTTCATCTACCATTCACATTCCAATTTTGTCACTGACTTTTTTTTTTTTTTCCAGAGGATGTGTGCACTTGCAGGAGGAGAAAGACAGAGAGAGAGAGAAAGCGAGAGCACTCTGCCCCCACCCCACCAGAGGCAAAATGAGGGATGGCAACACTGTACTCCCCTCTCCATTTCTCCTATCAGGATTTTGGGGACACACTCACATACGCCTGGCATGTCTCTCAAACTGCTAGGTCCAGAACTCAAATTACATAGCCATGTGGGATCCAACATCTTAACCATCATGCCACCTCTGGCCCCAATCACTAATGTTCTTTGTAGCATTTTTTTCCCTCCAGTCCAGGACCACATATTCCATTAGGTATCACATCTTTAGTTTCCTTTAGTATAGGACAGTTCCTTCTTCTTCTTGCTTTGCCTTTCTGAGACAATGGCCTTGCTAAAGGCTGCAGAAGGTCTGTCTCCGTAATATAA